CTCACTGAGCCATGTACAGCTTCTTTTCATTAGTATTCAAGTGCAAGATAATATACAAATTAAACAAGGTTTGGGAGTGACTAATTGACCCAATCATGCTAGGTGAGAGGCATCCCAGAATTATTCAAGGAGAATCTAGCAGAGGTGTTTCTGTGAGTTTTAATTCATTTGTTCATTTTAGCACACTAGTATTTTCTCCATATCATGTTTAGAAATAGCTTTTCTACTGTTTAGACTTTTTAATTGCTTCATTAGGTTTTCATGCAAAGAGTAAAGAATATATGTCTCAGTACTTGATGAAGCTAGGTGAATTATGGATCTTGACCCTTCCATGAAAGTGGTAAAGTCATAGTTATATAAAACAATGTTGTAAAATACAGGAGTTTTTATTAGGAATATGCATTGATATGATTTCATTTGCATTACAATTTGGGAAGCATTTAGGTTCACTTCAGATTGATCCAGAAATGAAATCTAAATCTTTGTTTGCAAATAAGAGATCTGTAAATTAGCAAACAAAAATAAATTGTACTTAGTTTTGTCAGAATTGAATGAAATTTGTAAATGGAGTAGTCCCTCATAAAGAGAGAAAGCTGCCTAATTTAAAACAAATCAATGTGGAGGTTTGGAAAGAAGCTTTTATATTTTGATCTTTAAAAAGAAAAAAAGAGTCACCGATCCCTTTTATTTCCTGACAAAATTGAAAGAAATGTTCAAGCTTTTTTTTTTCTGTTCTGAGGGTACTAAAACTCTTATATTTTAAATGAATAGGTTTAAGGATTTTGGTGCTAGAACAGTCTTTAAGAGTTTGAGAACACACAAAAGGATACATTTATCCCCTGTCAATTTTTGTGATCTACTGTAATGAAAAAAACTGTATAGCACAAAAAGGTTTGCTAGTGAAGGAATCTGCAAAATTTGAGGAAGTGCAGGGTTTTTGGTTTTGGTTTTGGTTAGCAGTGTGCTTTGAAGGGAAGGATTTTTTTCTCTTTACTTGCTTTCTTGCTTTTGTTCGAAATGATAAAAAAGTATTAAAATTATTGCTAGAAGAGAGAGGAATTATGCCATGAATCAAAGTCCTGAATTAAAATTTGAAGGTGTTTCCTCTCCTCCCATGTGGCCCCATATTTTGCAGACAATTAAAGATGTCATCATAACATTCTAACATGTTTAATTGGACAAATGTATATCTCAGTGTGTTATGAATTAATTCTACAGGCTGACCCCAAAGATTTAATTCAGATGGTCACAAAGCATGTTACCAACTCCAGCTATGCAGACTGGCCAGAAGAAATAGCAATTATGATTAAACATCTTCAGTACTATAATGAACGACTCTTGGATTTCACCCAGGCTCAAATTCTTCAAGGGCTTGGCAAAGGAGTGGATGTCCAAAGGTTTACAGCAGATGCTCAGTACAAAAGGGAAACCATATTAGGTTTGGCAGAGTAAGTAGTGTCTGCTTTGTATGTCTGTTAACCTGTCATATCTAAAATGCAAATCAGAATCTATTTTTTTAACTGCACTTAGTGAAGAGACTTTTGTATTATTATTACTTATTTATTATTTCAATTTATATAGCTGCCCATCTCAAATACATGACTCTGGATGGCTCACAGCAATTTAAGCTATAGGGAAAACAGAAAACAAAACAGAAACACATATAAAACAATGTAAAAAGGCATACAACAACACAGTCATTAGCCAGGGTATACTAAGAACTGCCAACAACAACCAGCAGAGCCACTGTACAGGCTCAGTTGCACACCTGGATCCCCAAGCCCTATGGCAAAACCAAGTCTTTAAGGCCTTACAAAAAGCCAGTAGGGGCGGGGCCAATCTGATCTCTAGGGAGATGATGTTCCAAGGATGGGTGCCATGACAGAAAAGGCTGTCTGTCTAGGACTGCCAGATGGCATTCCCTAATAGACGGGACCCAGAGCATACCTCTTGCACAAATAGTAGTAATACTACTGTTACTATTATTGCAGATTTGCTTATTTCCATTAAAAAGGTGTTAGATTATCCAATAGTTTTTTAAAATGTGTAACAAAATCCAGTGTAATTGTTAATGCAATGCACATCACATTTTACAAAGGAGAGGACTCCACAGTCTAAAAATATAAGCATGAGAAACGGTGAAATGTATTAATAATTCTTCTATTTATTCCTTTTATTTATTGTTGAACACTGCCACTTAATTTATGATGAGGATCAGCAGGTCACTTATTTTAGAAAAAGGTTCATTGTACTTCAGTTTGTCATTAGATTAAATCGTGAACGTGAACGGTAACTGGGCAATCCTGTGAATGCTTAGTGAATCATCTCTAAGCACATGCCATGCAGATCTCCATCACAGGATAACCACCAGTTACATCATGGTGTTCCCTATTTTCTCCCTATATTTTGCTTTGCATAGTATTGCTTTCACTAGTTGAAGTGGATTAAAATACAAAACCACATGTGCCAGCTGGTTCCATTATTGTTCTAACTACCAAACCATATGTTAGGATGTATACATGGCAACCATGAAATCCTTCTCTGGGGAAACCTCTTATAGAAGAGGACAGCAGAGCATATCTTCTAACATGGCTTATTGCATGGATCTAGAACATGTGTATATATTTGACACATAATAGTAGTAGTTGTTGAGTTACGACCATTCATTCAGCAGCTGTTCAAAATTATGACGGTGCTGAACCAGGGGGACTTACGACCAGACTGCAAAGTTGCGGTTGTCACACCATCCCTGCAGTCAAGTGATTGTGATCCAGGTGCTCGGGTGGCCAGCTCACATTTATGATGTCACAGCGAGCCACAGTCATGTGATCACCATTTGTGACCTTCCCTGTCGGCTTCCCACAAGCAAAGTCAATGGAGAAGCCAACAGGGAAGGTTGCAAGTTACTGCCATAAGTTGTTCTTGCCGCTTTTTCTCCCAAGAACCTCTGCTATGAAGTATAAGATCCCAGGGAATCCCAGGAGATCCCAGGCGCTCAGAAGTATCGCCAGCCTGCCCATCTCAGAAGCACCTGCCTGTTGCACCCACCGGCATACCCAAATTCAGAAACACCCACCCGCAGACCCCACTGGCCCACCCTGTGGCCCCCGCCAGCCCACCTGCACTCAGAAGTGCCTGCCTGGCACCCCCCCCAGCACCCCCTGTGCTCCTTGCCTGGGATTCCTGCCTCTTCCCAATTAACAACCTGCATGGTCCTGAGATTATGATGGCAACCTAGACTGCTGGGTTTGCCATCGCTAAACAAAGCAGTCATATGTCATCACACTTTACGACAACATCACTTAGCAATGGAAATTGCTATCATAACCCAAGGATTTTCTGTATTTATTGAGAGATAGAGAAATGTAGCTGCTTTGACTGAATCCCTGCCTGATGTCTCTGAGACTCGGGATGCAAAAGCTCCTTGAGTATAAACCTTATAAAATTATTTATCTTGCTTGCCTCAAAGTACAATATCAGAAGCATATCAGGGAACTTTCGCATTGCCTTCAAGGGAATGTGGATTACTACTTCTGATCCATACTTACAGATACTTGCGAGGATGTAAAATTCCCCATTCTCAAAAGGCCTTCCTTGGTTTCAGCTTTGATTAGTAAAATGTGCAGTTCTGGGACTTAATAATAATTCCCAAAATGTTTTGCTACAAGTGTGGTGTGCTCCTATATGACATTCAACCTCCCCGAAGAAATTAATCCAGTTAGGTCAGTTCTTCAGAGTCTTGGTCAAACTTTATATCTTTTATGTTCTTTAGTATTTCTTACTATCATACACTCAAAAACAAGAATTATAAAGATGTGAATAGAAGGTACTTGTTTCTCCCCAAGGGAGTAGGAGTTAGTTAATAATTACTAGCAATGCATACTGCAGCTTGAGAAGTGTTATATCTAACGAAAGCTCTTTTGCTTGACTTAAATACATAAATAATGTTCCTTGGATCCAGGCTATAGCCTCTGCTGATTCCACATTAATTAAGAAATTACTGAAGTATGAATAACACTTTCACCCATTTATTTTTTTGAAAACCAGACTTAACTTTAAAGTCTATTCCTTTTCATTCTGATGCATGCATGCATGCATGCATTTATTGAATGAAAGTACAGTTTCTGAAGAATTTGCTTAGAGCAGGATGTTCCAACCTTTCCAGGCCGTGGAACCTTTTAGTTAAGGAAAAAAATCCTGAAACCACTGATCAAGAGGCAAAGCTCTAGCAATGGAAAATTGGCTATGTTCAAATTAACTTTTTGGGGGGGCTGGAGGGGGGGCTTTAGTCTCTCATGGAACTCTAGGATTCCAAGAATAGTTTGAAACAGCCTGGCTTAGATGAATAGATCCTGCGGACACTGTTCTGTTTTGTAGTTAAGCATTTTTCCTATTGATTTTTTACTCTAATAGCCTAATTAAACTATTTTTTCACATGTTTATTATGATTTCTCATTAACCAGAACACTTGAAGAAAATGTGTACAGTATAGCTCTCTCCTTGGCTCAGCGTTATAATGTCCCACTCTGGGAAGTTCATATGACACACTTGGAATTTCTCTTCAGTGATAGTGGGTAAGTATAGAACCTCAGTCTGTTTCATTTATTTTAATGGCAAGTATTCAAAGGAGGAGCTCAACTGAACATTCTCATCTTGATTAACTGAGACAATATATATATAGTTTTGTGCAGAAGTGTTCAACTTCTACTGGGTTTTCTGGATGTTTGCAATTCTTTGTCTCTGAATGTTATTAGAGTTTCATGCGGCTCCTATTGACATGCAAAAGGAGTCTGAGAGAATAAATAATGTTTAATACTTAGTTCATATTTTTATAAACAAAATAATCCAACATGCAATTTCAGTGTGCTGGGGCCACTTGTATGAATATTTCATTAAACATTGAAGGCTAGCTTGTCCTATATAAATCTCACAAACTTTGTCTCGTCTCATCACAGTAAAGTTCTTATTACAATTCAAGAGGCACGGTATAACTACTTAAAATAAATTTCTGAAGATTCCAGTTAAAAAAAATGTGTTTATCAGTCAGGAGAAGGTTCCAAATCTATTTCTAAAGCTCTGGGGCTTCACCAGTCTGCAATCAGAAACCTATCAAAATATCTCAAGAGCAGAGCATAAAATTACGCAGAAAATCACAAGAACCTCAAAACAACATCCAGTGATCTGTGGGCCTTTCTTGCCTGACTCCACCATCAGAAAAGTGTGGTAAAAATGAGATTCATGGGAGAGAGTAACAAGACAGAAGCCACTGGTTACTAAGCAGAACTTTGATGCTGATGTTAAGGTTGCCAAAAAACATGTAGATGACCATCCAGACTTCTCTGGACAGATGACTCAAACATGGAAATTCTCAAGCTGCATTGGTGTTATTAGGTCTAATAGAAACCAAATACCGCATTCCACCATAAGAGCCTCATATTCACTGTCAAATATGGATATGTAAGTGTCATAGTTTGGGGATGCTTACTGCCTCAGGACCTGGATGACTTGCCATCACTGAAGAAAGCATGAATTTGGTTTTGTATCATAGAATCCTATGGGAGAATATCAAGCCATCTCTCCATCTGCTGAAACCATAACATAAGTGGATCGTGCAGCAAGGCAATGATCCCAGACATACAATTAAGTCTGCAAGACAATGGATGAAGAGTAACAGATTCAGTGCTTTGGAATAGTCAAGTCAAACATTTAAAATACATAGAAATATATATACATTGTGTATGGATTTTTTATTATTATTTAATATTACTTGTTATATTTTTGTTATTAAAGTTTTAAAATATATTTTTATTCTTATTCCTATTTTAGTATCTGTAACTGCCTAGAGTCCATGAGGATTGAGGCAGTAAATAAATTGTATAAATAAATAAATGTGGAAGGACCTGAAATGTGCAGTTCGGGCTAGCAAAACTCAAATATTAAGTGAGTTAAAAGAGTTTGCTGTGACAAAATGCAGATCAGTGTGAGAGACCAATTACAGGAAGTATTTGGTTACAATTATCGCAGCTTAATAATTTCTTTTGGACACTGGCACATGGTATGTTGGATAGTTTTGTTTATAAAATAAATGAAGCAAACACTGAACAGTGGTGTTGTTCATTTGCTCAGTCTTTCTTCCTGTACCAAGAGAACCCATATGAAGTTCTGATAACAGTCAGTGGCAAAGATGTAAAAAATTCAAAACATACAGTACCAGAGCGGTAAATACTTTCACAGAATTGCGAACTCATACTTGACTAAGCATTGGATTCAGTTGTTGATACTTATATCACTGAGAAGAGGGAATTCCTACACTATGGCTGACAACAATACTATCACACTCTGAAATATGTATAAATGAATTAGATTCAGATGAAGACTCATTGACATTTATTTGCATTCAAAAGGGCATGTTGGCATTTTTAGTCTGAATTCTCTAATTCAATTTAGTCAAAAAGCAACTGCACACACCTAGAGTCCATCCATTGTTGGTAGTCTTCCTTATCAGAGCTATCACTAATTAAAGCATGAAGGGCTAAAAGGAAGCCAGGTCTGCAGGAACAAGGTTTACTTATATTCCAATGTTTCTTCCCCACCTTAAATATACTTTTAAGTTATATTATAATTTTATATTGTGTATCTGAATCGTAGTACGATCATAGCCCAAAGGCTGAAAAACAGTGTAATAATATTGATTATATTGATTTCTGTTCTTAAATGTTTTCAACAATTGTAAATCACTGTTGCTGGGAGTCAGGTGGCTCACTATTACGTTGTTGTTGTTGTTAATGTGCCTTTTAAATGATTTTGTAAAATGAAATGGTAAAAATTAAACATCAGTTTAAGGGTAGAGTAGGCAACTTGATGCCTTCCATATGTTGTTAGAGTGCAGCTTCCATATCTGAATATTGGCCATAGTGGCAAGGCCTGGTGAGATCTACAGCCCAAAACACATAGAGAACACAAGTTTGCTTACCCTCTTCTTGGTAATGCTGAGTTTTCTAATATTTCATTCTGGTACATCTTTCAGTAACTTTTCTTCCTTCTCTTGAAGCTATTTTCCCTTTTGGTACAAGAGATTACGTTGAAATTTAGGGGAAAGAGAAATAGGTTATGACATAGTTTTCACATCGTATCTAGCTGCAATGCGTCCTTCTTAACATGCTGTATTAAATTAGGCATTATAGTTTGTAAAAATTACCTTAGTGTGAGATGAGAACCCATTAACTGGTTTATTCAATAAATAGTAGGCAAACTATGGCTTAGTATGTGTGAATCCAGCCTGTGTTTGCTCCCACTTTGTCTCACTCCTTATTACAATCCACTGATATGTAAGTTCCCTTTGTAGTTACCATAAAGTAGAAAGCTACAGGCAAATTGGCTGAGTGCTTAATTTTCACTATCTTTCAAAAATCATTAGTTAATAACACAGGTCCTACTGCTATTGCATGTAATTCCAGGAGAAATTTAGCTCCAGCAAAATGTACATGCTGCTAAGCAACCACCCAACTTAGATAAAAAAAGCCTGCTGATTGTTGAACCAGTTCTATAGCAATAAGAAAGTCATCTAATAACATGGACCTAGGATAGATACTTAACTGGTTCACCTTGGAACAGAGGCCTATGAGGCATGGAAGTAAATAATGAGTACCTCTTAGAAGTACAGGTAGAAGCCTAAATGAAGTAGGGATAGAAGCAAAAGGTAGATAGTCCCATTGTAATGGGGACCATAAATTGCAGAGTTATTTGAAAAGCACACAATTCTGACTCATTTGGACAAAATCCTTGCCAAAGCAAAAAAATTATACTTGGGTTTTTTAAAGTATTTATCTTTTCTTTTTTCTATTGGTTAAAATTGAAACTGATTTTTAATAAATGTTGTCCTGCACCATTTTCATTGTTTCTTTTCATTTTTTTCCCTTGCTTGTGTAGCACTACTCTTCTAAATTACAAATAGAAGCTTGCAAATTGATGCTACTAGAACATCTTTTAAACACTTTGATTTATATTATGTCCTTAAAAAAATTGGTTGAGTTTTTAGAACTGTTAATAATCACACTTATCAGCTAGACCTAATTGCTTTGTACATGACAGCTTAAGGCTTAATGCAAAGAAGCTCTCTTTTTGAAAATCTTTTCATACTTAATATTGATAACATCATCCAGTGTTTAGCAAAAAAAAAAAAATTAAATTGGTAATCATCATGATGGGCTTTGATCTGAGTGGTTTCATTTGTTACAGTTATCAGACATTTTCTTTTGCTTTCCATGCAGTTTATCCACAGCTGCAATAGAAGATCGAGCAAAAAGTCTTGGTCTGTTTGAGACTCTGAAAACTGTTCCCAAAGCCTTTCATGAGCATATGACCAGATATGTATATCCTATCATTGAAGGAAAGGATCACCAGCGCTTACTTTACTATTTCACACTTCTTGAGAACTGTGGTTGCTCTGAATTTATGAAAGACACCATCAAACCCGAAACTCATATACGATTATTGAAGAAATTCAAGGCGGTTGCACCAGGTACAAGGTGTTAACATTCATAGCTGCTTAGCAAAGCTGGATGTCTTTAAAGATGAGGCTGCAGTTTAGCACTTGTTTGATGAATTTAATCCTGTGTGTGTACTTGCTTGTTTCTGCATGAGACTTGTCTGTGTGTATCTGAGAAAGGAAGGCTGCATATGGAAATCACTTAATTTGGTAATTGAAGTACATTACTTTACAGGCAGTTAATTTTAATTGATACTTACTAATTCAGTTGATATAAAAGTATGTTTTTGTCATGGCTTTGTGCTTTTGGGAGGTGGCTTCTCGCAGATGGACTGTTAAGTACAGCCCAAGAACAGCAACGAGGCAATCTAGTACAGTTCAGTTCCTTTATTAGCTCGCATCTAATAGACAAAATCTCGCCAGACCAAACCTATGCTAAAGCAACTAGTGGCTCTAACCCGTGAGACTCTAGGGAGAGGCCAGCCTCATCCTCTTCGTCTTCCCACACTCTTGCTGCAGGCTGAGGAGGCACTTGCCCTGGAATGTGTCTCCCCCCTCCTGACAACCTTGAAGTTCCATTCCAGAATCTTCCCCGGTCATGCCATCCATTACATGGACACACGCGCGCACACACACACACACACACGTATATTTATGTATGTATATATGTGTGCGTATATTTATATATTTTGTTCATATATCAAATTTATATGGCCCCCCATCTCACAAGAAGTGACTCTGGGTAGCATACAGCAAAAAATATAAAATAATAAACATGTCAAGCAGAGTCATATTAAAAAACAAAACAAAACACAAGAGATTAGTTCAGCAAGGGAGCCACTTCAAGATCTTGCCAGTCCTCTAAGGCCCCCAGACCTGATGTCATAGCCAGGTCTTGAGGGACTTCCAGAAAATAAGTAGGGATGGAGCTGACCTCACTTCGGGAGGGAGAATGTTCCATAAGGTGGGCGCCAGGCAGAGAAGCCCTGCCTCCTCAGGCCCACCAAGTGTAGTTCCCTGACAGACAGGACCCACAGCATGTTCTCTTGCCCATTCTGATGGGACGGGCAGGTGGTCTCTCAGATAACCTGTCATGAAGGGCTTTAAAGGTCAAAAACAGCACCTTGAATTGGACCTGGAAGCAGACTGGCAAGCAGTGCAGCCCACGGAGCAGAGGTATAACATGTACTGTTCTAGAAGTAGACATAACTGCCTGCACCGCTGCATTTTGCACCAACTGCAGTTTCCAGATACTCTTCAAGGGCAGCCCCATGTAGAGCGCTTCACAGTAGTCCAATCAGGAGGTGACAAGGGCATGAGTGACTGTGAGCAGAGCCCCCCAGTCCAGAAACGGGTGTAACTGTTGCACAACATGAAGTTGTGCAAAGGCCCTCCTAGCCACGACCTCCACCTGCTCTTTGAGCAGGAGTCATGAGTCCAGGAGGACCCCCAGATTGCACACCAGGTCTCTCTGGGGCCATACAACCCCATCCAGCACCAAAGATGGCACATTCCTGGAACCAGCAAGCCTCAAAATCCAAAGCTATTCAGTCTTGCCAGGGTTTAGCTGAAGTCTGTTGTTCCCCATCCAGACCCTCACAGCCCTCAGACACTGGGGTAAGATGTCCGTAGCATCACTTAATTCACCAGGGACAAAGATTTATAATTGGGTGTCATCAGTGTACTGATGATACCTCACCCATGACAATGGATGATCTCACCCAGCGGCCTCATGTAAATGTTGAATAGGAGTGGGGAGAGCACTGAACCCTGCGGCATCCCACATAGTAGAGGCTGGGATTCTAATTGTCCCCAATTACCATTGACTGGAACCGACCCTGAAGAAAGGAGGTGAACCAGCACAACACAATGCCACCCACCCCCCAATCCCCTGAGCTGATCCAGAAGGATATGACAGTCGATGGTATCGAAAACTGCTGAGAGGTCAAGGAGGGGCAAAGATGGATGCACAATCCCCATCCCGCCCTCCCCAGAGATCATCCAAAAGTGCAACCAATGCTGTTTCCATCCCATACCAGGTCTGAATCCCAACTGAAAGGGATCCAGATAATCTATTTATATATAGCCATGATTGACAACCTTGATAGAACAGATGAGGGAGGAAGATAGGAACTGCACAAGATCCTTGTTTATGGTTTTGTTTTGTTTTGTTTTACTATCTACTCTTCCTATGGGGGAACATTGTCTTAAATTCATGGTAATCTCTATTGGTAGATACAATATGTTTGTTGACTTGATTCATATTATATACATGCTAAGATGATATTCTGGAGAAGATACCTACATTTTAAATTTAGATAGCATCTACTGTCTCAATTTGAGCATCAGACTGATATCCCAAGCCTTTAATGCCGACCATCATTTCTCAAAACCAGATTTGGAGACCTTGTGACATTTCTGTCATTTTTTTTTTAAATGGTTCCAGAAGAATCATCTGGAGCAATCATATGCATCATGGCACTGTGGGTGCTGTTGTATCAGTCCCTGCTTTACGTAGTGGTCTTTTTTAGTTTAGTTTAGTTGCCTACACAAAGAAAAGGCTGGTAGCTGCTGCTTTAAAACAGGGCTGGAAAACCTGCATCCTGTGGGCCTATTAGACTGGCCTGTCCAACATGAGCAAAGTCCCCATCTAATGTTCTGACTTTGGCACTAGAAATGGTGATTTCTCTATATCAGGACCCCTAAATTACCCCAAAGAAATGGTAATTTGGCATTAGAAATTCTAATGCTTTGGCACTAGAAATGGTGAGGCTCGTTATAAGTAGAGGAGAACCAACAGAATAGATCCACATTTCCTGACCTGCTTCTTTTCCCATTGCAGGTGGATTGCAGGATCCACTTCACTATGCTATCCTTTTTCCTTAGCTGAGAAAAGATCAGACCAGAGGACTATCAATCAGGGAAGGGATAGGGTCAAATCCTGACTCTTGCTAGCTTTTCCACTGCATATCTTTCCCACTGGAGAAAATAAACGATGAAATTATTGTCTTTGTGAAGAGGGTGTGGAAAATTATAGCTGCTCACATCATCCATGGAGAAATGGGCAGCACTTAGGAGTGGTGCACAACTGATATCATGAAGTGGTTTTAATGAAGCTTTGTCCCCACACAACATCCAGTTCCCAACCCTGCTCCAAGTTCTAACCGAAACTTACAAAAATATATTGAAGCTGTCGTCATTTTTATTCAGGACTGTCCCATGGGATTTATTTCTAAATAAACATGTATAGGAATATGCCACCTAAAAGAGATTAAATAGAGCAGAATTCAACCACATCTATACCATAGATGCACTCCTCCATCGAGAGGTGTTTTAAACATAAAATTTAGTACACAAAAATGCTTTTTATTTCCATTTGAACATACTGATGGCAGGTAAGAATGTCATCATGTGTAATTTTGGCATAGGATATCAGTGGTGGGAAGAGTGGCAAATTTATATTACATTATCTTCCTCTAACAACTTTAAAGCTCATGAGGTGGGAGGTCATATGATTCTCCTCATTGAGACGTTGATGTACCTCCCTCCTTTTCTCTGCCTACTTGTTTCTCTGTAAAGACCTTGCATAACATAATAACATAATATTCCATGCTATAAATTGAGGAAAAGTATACTATAATATGATGAAAGTTATGCACAGATAGTAGGATCCTAGCACCCATAAATAGTGGTTCACATTTTACTGCAGTTTCTAGTTGTAAGACTTTAGTTGATCCCACTGTAAGGACTGTTGCTCATATTTTTCTGCTAACAGGTCTTAATTATAAAAAGCTAACAGAAGAAAATGCAAGTCCTCTGGCAGCTTTGGATCCTATCCTCACAAGTCAAAATATTCTGCCTATTTCAAAGCTTGCTCCTAAAATCCCAGGAAAAGATGGAAGGATGCTTTCTCCTAGCTCTGTCTATGCTTCCTGGATTAAGAAACTCTTCTGGAATGGGGATCCCCATCTTATTAAAAGAATTCCAGAAACCCCACCTGAATGGCTACATTCCTATGACATCTGTGCCAAATACTTTGATAGACTTTACCCAGGAGATGTTATCAATGTTCTGGATGAAATTACTTTTTCTTCAAAGGCTGTCACCAAAGTAAGTACTATTTTATAATAGCATTATGTGTATGACTTCCTTTTTCAGTGTAAAAAGTATCAGATACAGACAAAAATCAGAGTTTCCTAATAGTTAGGTAAGGCATAGAGGGAAATATATGGAAAGTATAAGAACAAGCTATCATCAAAATAGTTCCAGCATGTGAATGTTCTTAGGAAGAGGCTCAAATAATGGAAACTACTGGGTCCATCCAAGTATAGCTGTTGGTAAAAAAATAGGCTACTTGAGAGCAGTAACTTATTTTTAAGTAGGTCCTGATTCCCAGGGAGTTTTTCCAAGCAACTTAGCACTCCTGTCTTCTCTCTGCCCTTTGGATCTCTGTATTATGATAGTGGCTCTCATGGCTGGGCGGCCAAATCTCTATATGAGAGTCAGAATCTCTCCATGGTTCTTTCATGTATTTAGTTCTAAGGTGTGGGTCCCCAAAAGCAAGGCTAGTCAGTGCTTCACCTGGCCCATTTTCTTCTACCTGAGGTTCAGCTGCATCTGAGACAGGTCTGACAAACTCCCATCATCTAACCAATAATCATGTTGCTTGTGGTTTATGAAAACTGGGCTCCAATATATCCGGAAGATATTTGATTTAAGGGTCCTGATATAGAGAAAGTATAACATGCTAAAGGAAAGAGTAAATTGGGACTTAGTCTGTTTCTACAATTCTGAATTGTACTTTGTTTAGAGTTTAAATTTACTAGCACTAGCTTGCTAATAAACAATATTATATTATTAAAAGGACTTCTTTAATTTCATATGGACCTTAGTGACAGGGTATTTTCATCTAGTAGACAAACTTATTTGAGAAGATTTCAAAAGATTACAGCAATATCTCCATCAATTTTGTGTATATTTTCCAATATCTTTATTTTACTGTTTAGTCTGTCTGTCTGTCTATCTTTGTTACTGATTCAGTTGCAATTCAGATTGATTGTGGTTCTATCTGTGGTCATCACCTGCCCATTGATTATTTTTCACCTATTTAGAAAAGGCAGAGAATGGTAACACTATTTGCTAGCACTACAGTTTATCAGTTGGAAGAAATGAATGTACAATTAAGATAGCATTGTCTTACAATTGTGGCTACCATTGTTATCAGAGACTGCCAAACACTTTTCCAATTCTTTAAAATCCAGCACAATAAGCTAACTGTACATATAATGTTATCATCTGCAGCAATTTATTCTAGGGTTTTAGAATTTTACTGCACAAAAAGGGATGAGAATGGAAAAAGTTCTTCTAGTAAAGTAAAGATTTTTTGCATAATACATAAAAGCCATGTCTCTTTGTATAATGAAACTATGAATGTTTGGATCCAGAATTTTTGTGAGATCTGCTTATGGCAGGCTGGAGGAAGTTAGGCAGAAAGATACTTGCTGATCTCTCCTATAAAACTGCAATTTCTCAAAAAAAAACCTGTTCTGGAGGGGAACCTTTGGTAGATCTCATTATCATCTGTAAACAGAAGAGGGCCATTTGCTGAAGAAGTATTCTGTGTCCTCATACATTTCTAGATTAGTTTCTCTAGCCAGGGAAATTTTTTACTGGTGTCTAATTCTTAACGAAAGGCTAGTTCAAGCTATTTGCTTTTTATCTTGATTTTGGCCTTTGTGATTTTTTATAATTTTTGACACTCTGGATGCAACCTATTCCCTTCCATGATTTGATTTGAGAAAAGAAGGAACACTGGAATGAAAGCCATTTCCTGCTCACACATAAAGTATTAAATACACAATAGGAGACTTTTGAACTTCAGTTTATCCTTTTCAACAGACCATACACAACAAACATCTAGTTTGGGGAAATAAAGACTAGGTTCACTGACATATTTCAATCAATCAATCAAGTAAATTCCAAAGGTTTTCATGGAGGTTAATGTATATAAGATTGGAGCCTTAATCTTAGTATTAGGACTGACGTTCAGTTGCATTGTTTGTCCCAGCCACTGTACTAAATTCTCTGTTCACAGATGGGCTATGTCAGGTCTTTAGATATGTTACAGAATTATGTTTCCAAATCCCACAAGATAACAACATTTAGTAAGATTTATGTATTCTTATTTGAAATTACATGGGAATTTGGGAATTTTAAGTTTTATTTACTATTTTACCTAATTTTTAAATTTAATTTTACACCCACTCCTCATTTAGCAACTAGCTCAGTTAGTGACCATTTGCAAATATGACAGTAATAAAAAACTAATTTTCCAACCAATGTGTGCATTTATGACCAAATTTTATGTGCCTGACAACAGTGCATGCCAGAGTGAGAGTAATACTGGTGCAGCTGTACAAGAGAACTTTATCTGATTGAGACAGCAGCAACCAGTGATCATCACAGCGTCTCTCTCTCTCTCTCTCTCACATGTTCACTTAGCAATCATTTCACTTAGCAATCTGGTCATTGGAACAGAACTCAGTTGCTAAATGAGGAGTGAGTGTATTTGGCATCAGCATTGTGCAAAATCACAATAGTGCCTGCAACTTGAAAAATGTGTAACTCCTATATTAAATAATAGAAATAGCACATATTGATATATTTGCCCAGTAAATCACATTTTGAATAGTTTATTCAAAAAGGGAATTAGTGAAAATACATGCATATGCACATTGAAAACAACGATTTCTTTAGGGGGAAATTAGCCCTTTTTCATAAAAGAATTGGTTATTACAATACAGAAATTAGAACACAGTTTTAGAACAGAAGTAAGGCAGATAGACAAATGCAGATAGTACATATTAAACTATTACTCAGAATGTGGAGAAGTGAGTAATTGAAAGCCCTGACTATATTGGCCTTATAAGAATAGAGATTACTTGCAAACTATTTTCAGAAGCCTGAGCCTTTGAAAAAGGATAGCATCTCCAAAATGCATTGAGCTAATTATACAAAATTGTGATAAATAATTTTGAAGATGATATCTTCCTTTTTGTTTTATCTGACAAGGACTCTCAATAAGAACAGCTAGGCTAAGGATCAGGAGAAATGCAAGGCATTCAAGCAGACCTTGGTCAAATTTGGCTTAGCAAGGCTGGGATAGGCAATCTGTAGCTTTGTTGGTGTTGCTGACGTGCAGGCTCCCCAGTGGTAGCTCAAGCATATATGGTCATATTGACTGATGGCGCCACCTCCCACCAATGCAAAGCTTTGCATTTTTAGAATGCTTTTGAAGAAGGGGTAGCACTGGGCCCCCCTAAACTTTGGCACCCTAGGTCTTAAAGCCAGCCCTGAGTATCACTATGGGTCACGTTAGCTGCAAGTGCTGAGAGTTTTGGTTTAGCAAAATCTAGAAGACTACAGAATCCTGGCTTTGGTTTAGCCCAAGAGCTTAGGTCTGAGATAACCTTTGCCTGAAATGCTTTCACAGTCCAGGCTACTGTATGATAAAATTAGAGCATATTGGACCAAATGATGCATCTGAAAGATTAAATGGCTGCTTTCTATAGAAAAGGAACTTAACTACTTCCAAACTTTCAGCATCAAATTCAATTAATCTATGGCTGAGTAGGTCTGTTTTTATTAGTTTAAATTATATTGTAGCATTCTAAATAAATCAGACTATAAAATGTCTTCCTCTGGAGTTTTATTTGCTAGGAGGATTTGGATCTTAATTAGATATACAGATTTAACAGAATCACAAGAGATGTTTTTACTGTAGTTTCTCATGCCGGCAATGCAAAATGTTTTTTTTTCCAGATGAATTATTTATTATTACTCTTAGATAACACACTCTTCAGTTTTGGAGCATATGTGATCTATAGTTTTCTGAATTATTTCAGAGAAAAAACAGGAAATGCAAATGCCAAACAAGGAGCATATATTTATAAAGAGAACTATCCTATATATTACATACAGCCTTTAAAAAGAAAGAGAGAGAGAGAGAGAGATTGATATTAACCATAGATACAATGACTAAATTTATACTTTGCAGTAAGCCATAATCTATGTGAACATTTTATGGCTTAGCATGTTATGTGAATCTAACTAATTATAACCATAGTTAAACAAACCATGGTTTGCATGATATATAAATTTAGATTGTTTACATTGGGAATTCAGAATTGTACCTGAGGATCAGTGAGGAAAAACAGTTTCTGTTTCTGTAAGTCATCTGGAAGAATTCTGTGACTGAGAGACAGTCCATCTTTTTCCCCTGAGAAACTATTAATTGTATGAAATAGAGGAATCTGCAGCATCCAAACATAGAAACGTTATGAAAATCCCAATATGTAGATGCTTGAAAACTTCCAATATGTAGATGCTTGAAAACTCATTAGGGGAAAAAATGGGATTGCACAGTCCTAATGCCTTCCTGTTTACTTGTTGCTCCTTTTGAGCTACAGGCTCTTGATTCAAAATACCTTCTGTTTTAAATGGAATACTTCACCTGATAGTTTCAGAGGCATTTGTCAAACCAGTTGAAGAATGAAGACTTGCACTTCAAGATTTCTACAGACTATTATGATTTAAGACAGAAAGAGTTTTTTTCTGTGTGTGTTTTTAAATGTTTTTTAAAAGTCAGATAATGGAATCAGTCAAGAGAAACATAGACATGAAGAAACAAGTAGCATGGGATTAGACTTTGAAAGGAAAAGGTTTTTTTAAGAAACAAGATATTCTCTTGCTCATGTTCTATTTAACACTTTCTGGTTCTTTACCAAAAAAAAAAGGCAATCTTTAATCAATGTACATTACTCAGTTGTTCTTACTCCTGATTCATGTGCATTCAAGCACCACTTGTACTATAAATTCCCGTAGCAATTTATGATGAGATGAGCATTATCTTTCCTCAGCTGTCAGTTGACTCCCGGGTAGAGATGACAAAGAAAGCCATTAAGTCGATGAAACATGCAGCTGAAAAAGCTGGGAAAAGGACTTCTGAGGGGGACCTTGCAGAAGGTGTGGTTAACAGGCAAATCACTTACAAAGACGTTTTGAATCATCTGCAGCAGTCCCTTGCACATCTGGAAACACTTAGCCATAGCTTTATTTCTTACCTGAAAACCAGTGACCAGGTAAGTGAAAAACATTTAGCAGAACCAAATCAAGATTATATGTCATATACAGTAGAACTGCTATGCACTAGTTTTCTAAATTCTTCATTTCCCCATCTACCTTCATCACATTCTGTAAAACATGCAATAAAAGCAGCCAGATTTAATTTCATGCTGAAATAATTCAGGTGAGAGAATCATAGTTTTTCATTTCTTTTTAAAACTTATACAGGTAGTCCTCACTTAATAACGGTAATTGAGACCAGAATTTCCATTGCTAAGCGATGCTGTCATAAAGCATGATGTCACATGACTGCACCATTTAGCAATGCCAGTTCCTGCAGTCCCTAGTTACCATCATTAAGTGAGGACTGCGTGGGTTTGTTAAGCGAGGACCTCATGTGGTCACAACTCGCAACTTCCTGCTGGCTTCCCCATTGACTTCACAAATCGCAGTCACATGATCACAGGATGATGCAATGGTCAGAAATTCGGGCTGGTTGCCAAGCTCATGGATCGTGATCACATGACCCTGAGGGTGCTGCAACAGCCGGAACTTCAAGGACCAGTTGTAACTACCACTCATTCAGATTTGTCACAAGTTTGAATGGTCACTGAATGAGTGGTCATTAAGCGAGGACCACCTGTATTTATCTTTATGAGCTGTCTGTGGTAGGAGAGTGTTATAATAGATTTGAACTCTGCAATAGTTTTGGCCTGATGGTCATACTTGGAATTTTTAAAATTATCATTAGATTTATATCCCACCTTGATTTTGTTTAACTCCAGGCAGCATATATAACAGCCTCCTGTCTTCCCCACAGCAACACATCTGTGAAGTAGGTTGGGCTGAGAGAGTGTGCCAAGCCCAAGGTTACCTAGTTGGCTTTCAAGGTTAAGGGAGGGCTAGAACTCATGGACTGACAGTTTCTAGTCTAGCACCTCAACCACTACACCAAACTGGCTCTCACTCAGTTTTGAAAGCATGTGTACACTCTTTCAAAATAGCTGTTAACTTATTTGAAGAAGCTGCCATGATAGATATAATGAGCTTAACAACCACCAATTAACCAGAATGCCACCTACCACCCCATCTCTAGTATACCTGTTTAATCTTCCACCTTTTGGGGGGCAGGTGGACATACTTGCAAAGTACAGGGATGTACCCAGCAAACTTAAGGGGTTTGTTTGGGTCTCAAAAGTATTCTTGGAAAGAAAGAAAAGTCTGGTGCTTTGCTTTGCTGCATGCTAGTTTCTTACATTTATTATTATTCAAAATTATAAGAGTAAGGTGGGACAGGAAGTTGTGAACTTTTTTTTTTTTTAAGTACACAGAATATGATACCATGGATACTCCTAAGGCACCATTATGAGAATAGTTCTTCAAATTGCTTTGTGCAGTGGTGGAAATAATGATTTCTGTCATAATTTATTGGAATGAAGTCTGGAGCTTTTTGTTTTGACTTTTCTGAAAAGGTTATTTCTAGGTTAGCAATGAATCTGAATTTCAAAAATAAATGTTGAGTTAATGTGACTTAAAACTTCTTTACATCATGGATATTTAAATGGTTTCTCCTTATAGAATATACTGCGAGAATATGGCCATCAATATGATTTATCCCGGTCAGAAAAAAAAAGAATCCATGAGCAAGCTGTAACAATGTGCTTGGATGGCCAACCTCTGAACATGATACAAAAATTACTGGATGTTGCCGTTGGAGATTTAGGACTTTCACCCAGGGATATTGTTGAGACAGCTCTAATCAGAGTGGTAGATGCTTTGAGGTAAGTTAAATTATACATTTCAGAACTTTTGGGAGTATATTGTTAAATGGAATTGATGCTGCACAATCTTATAAAAACCTTTTTTAAGAGAAGACATATATAGGATAGTACCATAAGTACCTTGCTTTGCTTTGCTTTGCCTTTTTTTTTTTTTGAAGAAAATCTATGTATGTAGGCAAATAGGCCCTTAGCAGATGTAGTCTTACATACATCTGCTTCTTTTCATGTGCTTGTTTGAAAGCTTTGTGCTCTAATGTATTTATTTTATTAAAATGCTTTATGCTGTGTTTCAACCAATAGGTCTTTACAACAGTGTACAATGTACTTTTTAAAAAGCATATTAAAAGAAAAGGAGGGGGGGTATCCAGTAAGAAGATGGTCTATAGGATTAGTTGTGAGTTCCTCATAACAATTCTATTTTAGGATTAATTTTAATGAAAACAGTTTAAATTATCATACTGATATTTTTGTAAGAACAAAGTAACACCATATCTGCAGACTCCTTGTGTATCCTCATATTTTATAAAGTGGAATTGCCACACAATAGGTTTCTTTTATCTTTTTGTAAAGGAAATTCATAAACTCATGTGCAATTTCAAGAAGATTTTATCTATTTAGTTTTTATTTTCAAGTTCTTTAATATTTAGTAGTGGTGAGATTGCATATTTAAACTATAATAATAAATTTGGTGAAAGGACTTCTGGATAACACCATGCAAGACAGTGAATATATGCTGATATTTTGCCAGCCATACTGCTGCTTTCTTCAGAGCAGATCTGAAACTGAAGTTGGCAGCAGATGTCACTTCCTTATATACTGACTGTATTCAGTGGAGCAGGATGCCCACAACCAGTCACTAATGGCTATGTAGATGAGAGTTGATAACCCTTCTCCTTATTTAAATTATTTGGATGTTTATGAATAATTATTAGAGAGGTAATTATTAGAGAGGCAATAGAAATGTCAGCACATATCCACTCTCTCACACAGCATTACCCAGAAGTCATTTCATCAGTCAAAAGCAGCAATGAAAACTACACTAAATAATACCAACAATTTATTACTTATACTTTTTGTTATATTTTGCAGAATATACTATAAGGTGGCATCTGCTGTGGCATGACCACAAGTATATCAACCATTTGATGGGCTTCTAATTATTTGACTGAATGTTAAGATGAAAATGGCTTAAAAGTCTAGATATTCTCTTACGTAACACTTTTTAAGAGTAAATTGATATATATTATTTTCTTTTTAACAGTAATCAGGTCTTATCTTTTTTGTTTAATGGTCTTTATCTCACATAGCTATCTAATGTGTGTGTATATATAGATCAGGAAATTAAACAGGCAGCTTCTTAAAAGCACAAGACATGGCGTTGGAAGAGAAAACAAAAAATTACCTGGAAAAACAGTGAAATGCCTAAAATCTAGAATGTTTCTAAAACATTGATAAAAGTGTATATAGTAAGTTACTACAATTCAGTGAATGCAGAAATAGAGCCTATGTAATACAAACAAAGTGACTAATTAGTAAAATTACTTTAAGCATAAGCATGAAGTTCTACCCCCAAAATATTGAACTATTTAAATGGATAGTAATATTTAAATGTGCACGTGTTAAACTGGGGTTAACAGGACCCTATCAACAGCTTGCTATGCAAGGGTCCTGCTCTTCTAAATCTTTTTCCCAAGAACTTATTTATGCAACAGAGGCAGTTCAGAACATTGTTTCTATGTTTCTGTGCCTGAAATGGGAAAATTATACTCTGAATGTACTTTTTGCCAGAAAAAACCCTATCAGTGTTGAGACCTAGAAAGTTGTGGGAGTCTCAGTGTTATCACTGTTGTGGGTGCCTTCTCTTGGGCGACAAGCCTTAATAACCCCTCAGATCCTTAATTAATCAATATTTTGAACCAACAAATCAACTGCAGTACATGTTCTTTAACATGCTTTCATATTAGGGTCTTTATAGGTATTGGTTTCTTAATACTGATTAATGTGACAGCTTTCCTGGCAAATGCAATAAAATACTTTTGATTTAATTACAGGGAATCTTGCATCTTAATTTCTCTTTTTAAAAAATTATTCTGAAAGTTATAAAAGGCAATGGCTGAGTTCATAGTAGGACTAAGTCATGGCTTGTTTAAACAAGATTTGTTGGACAAGCTCAAATGGGTTCATACAGTATACTAAACCATAACCTTGTTTGCAGACCCACAAATGGCTGAATTCACACAGTACACTGAACCAAAACTAAGCAAACCAAATTATGATAAACTCAATCAATATATCTTCTGTGTAATTGTTAATTATTTAATATTTGATAAGCAGGACAGAATGCTTATACACATAGCCCTTAAGGTTTCTGTATCATTGATTCCAAATAAGCATCTTTCTGTTTTATTCATTTGACAGTAAAGAGGGTGATCAACATTCTCTTCAAAAAGATCCTTTTCAGATACTGGAAGACATTGTCTCTGCTGTCCACACAAGTGCTGAAAATGGGTAAGAGCTTTTGGGGTATATTGTAAAACTTGATTACAACTGCTAAATAAGAATATGCGTCAAATTTGAATTAATTGTAAAAACCCGGATCAAATCAAACAATTTTGAAATTATTCTGTGGATCTCCAAAACCAGAACGGAATACTGGCAGAGTAAATGCAACCAGCTTATGAGCAGAACTGGCAGCTTGCGCCAAAAATATTCCCCTTTTCTTTTTTATCTTGTCCACCGTGTTTATACTATGTTTTCACACACACAAGTAGTCAGCAGATTTGAGTTACTTTCTGGTTTGCATCTAATTTCTAACCAAGTTTGAAATTCTTCCTTCACACATCTATATGTTTAATTTCAGATTCCCATTGTGTGCCCTATTCAGAAAACTGCAGCTTTGTAGCATTTTTTCAGGAATCTGTCCTTCTCACTTTGCGTATGTCCTAAAGGCTCATCTCCTGCTATCCTTTCTCACTTCTCCAATTTCCATGCCAATAGCACTGTTCGGAACTTCTTTCACCTCAAGAATTTTTTTTATAGTCCCCCTCCCTCCCTCCTTATTTCCCTTGCTTTCTGCCTTCTTTACATTGTCCTTTTTCATGTTTTGGTGGAATCAGGTATTTCCATACCTGCCAGTGGGTCTGTAGCCTTTAAACCTCCACTTTGTATGTGTACAAAGCAAACTTTGCCAACAGACTTTCTCCAGTCTTGCATCGATCCTGCTGTAACTTGTCAAGTTATTAGTTCCAAAAGGACCATTACATTGTTTGTTGTAAATACTATTATTTTCCCCAGGGAAAAGTCCAATGAACCTGGTCACAAATCCATATGGAACTCTAGTATGAAGATATATTTTGAAATACCAGTATTGCTGTAATAAGGTTTTAGACTTGTATTCCATGAAACATTATTTACCTTTGTATCCTTCAGATGTTGTGGGAACTAAATATAAATGGTTCCCTTCAGGAAGTTACAGTCATTTGAAAAATGAGCTTACCTAACTTTTGAAGCCAAGGCCTCAACTGCTTTCTTTTTAATTTATCAACTTTTTAATTTACATTCCAAATGTCACTTGCTCCAAAGAATCATTTCTAATTTAGCACCAGTTCTCTGAGAGATGGAATATAAAAAGAGTAACACAGGCTAAATAAATTTTGAAGTTTTCATGAAATGATAACTTAAACTGTCAGCTTATATTATTTCAGCACTTTCAGACAGGTTGAATTGGTGTCTTCTAGCTGATATTATGTTCCCATCTGTCTTGTTAGAATGACTACAGTAGTATTACTTCAAATATAAATCACATGCTACCTGCTGCTTCTTTTCATTTGAAAAAAAAAGTGTCAAGTTGAAATATTGTCAGTGAATATAACGAGCATTATTTATACAAAAACAGATATATAGTTTTTTAGAACTAGTAAAGATGTATATTGCCTGAAATGGGGGGGAGGGGAGGTCCCTAATAACTTGAATATTGCAAGTCCTACATCATCTTATTAAGATTATTTGATAGTGTTTTTTATCAAACCACAGATTTGTCATTCAGTATATACTCTGTGTGTTAGACCAAGAAAAGTTGCCTGTACCTGCTGTAGCTTATGATATTTCTTATTTAACGAAAGAACACATATGGTTTATTACTTTCATAGTCAGCAAATATAGCTATTATTTCTAATCAACTATTATTTGTGAACTTCCTTTTCTAATTGCTTCCTTGTGTATTTTTAAAATTAACAGAAAATCCTTTTTATCTTTAGTCTACTGCAATATTGTTATTCAGCTGACGTTTTGAAGGAACAGATCAGACTCAAGTGGATTAACTCTAGCACAGGAGAATAAAAGTAGCTGTTTGGAGAAAATAGGAAAGGTTAAATTACAGGCAGCTCCAGATCCTTCCCCCTCAAAAAAAATTGAGAAGGAAGATATTAAAAGACTATTCCTAAAGGATTTGGGGTGAATAAAATATATTAAAAAGAAGCGTTATTGCCGAAGACAGGAGAGAGTAAACTATTTCTGTTCATTATGTCTTAGATCCAGGTTTGGGCAGGTAAAAGGCAACAGTGTGAAGCATATCTAAGAGAACAGGTGGGAAAAGCATGCCACCTCGACAGGTTACACATATTACTATGGATTTAATACTGTATTTGCATCCTATTTTCAGATAAAGATTGTGTCCCAAAGAGGCTTCCGTTAATCAAGAATTATGTTCAGATTTACAGTGTAAAACTATAAATTAAAAGTAGGCCAGATATCTAAGAGAAAGAGAGTGGAGATAAATTTCTCCCAAATCTCTTCTCCAAAGTATACCCTTACTTTTGAGGAATGCGGGGAGGAGTGGAATTTTAACCTAAGTTGACTGCAAGGTGGAGCATTAGACTTGTGGAACTAAACATAACCCAACAAGATGGCTATTTTCTTGGACTAGGATCCTGATTTCTCTCTCAAGTGTACCTTGGATAAGGATCACAGATTGGCAGCAACATAATCTAAAACATGTTAGAAAGAAACATTGTAAAATGAACTAAATCAAGCACATAGCAAAATGGGGGCCCTAGTAGAAAATGTAGCAAGTTGGCTGGAGCAATTTTCAAAGTTTTGCTTTCTGAATGAGGAAATAATATTTAAAAAAAAAACAGACATGAAGGGCCCTTGAAGAAGGCTAAGTGTACTGATAGATAATTTTATTCTAATTATCCATTTTATTTCTTCAAACCACCCTGTTTTGTTTTGTTTTCTGTTTTTGTCAATCAGCATTTTGTAAGCATTAACTCCTCACTAGGCTTTTTTCCCCTTCCCAAGTTTTTTTATGTTTAAGATTATTACAAGATTATCCTAAATTTGCAGATACCTCCTTTTTGCGTTCCATGGCTTTCAGCATTTAGCTATATAAGAGTTGTTGCTTGAAGGACTGCATAAGCATTAGAGTACAGACTTTCTCTAGTGACAAGAAATGCATAGACTCCTTTGATTGGGTAGTCAGAATGCTACTTAATGTTGCTGACCATTGGTTAACATAGATTGTATTAGATATGAAAAAAATAGCTATAAGAAGAAGTTAAAATAATTTCCTTATGGAAAAATTTCTTTAAGAATACCCAAAGCTGTCAAAAGAAAAGTGTAATGCAAATTTCTGATAGTATATAACAATAGAACTGCTGAAAATGTTGAACAGGAAGTCTTTTGTTGTTTCTGAAGAATCAGTTGGTTTCTGGGAAATACTTTGTTTCTGTTAGGATATTCTGCTTTCTAAACTTATGTTTTCAATTAATTTATCAATTGCTTATATATAAATGTTAAGAATAATTTAAAAGTAGGTACTAGGATCTCTGTTACTTATTTAAAGTTTTTGGGTTAGCTACTTGAGTGTTTGATTTCTGCATATTCTTTGGATTCAAGCAGATGTGGTTCTGGAAATCATGACTTTGGTATCTTTGTGCAGAAAAGCAAAGTGCCATGAAGGCCTTAAATTTCACGTATTTGTATGTGACTTGTGTAAATGTAGCCAATGAGGTTCGCTTGATGAAATGGAGATTAGAAATTAGAGTATGCCTTATTGCCTGCCAGGATTGGAAGTTGAAAGCACTATCTTACAGTGGCTTCCCTTCTTCCTGAGTGGGTGGTTCTAGAGGTTCCAGTCAGTGGTTGGTGGAAGTTGGTCTAATAGAATCCTGCAGGATTCGTTCTCTCTCTCTCTTTTACATTTTTTTTTCACTTTTAACATTCCAGTAAGATAAGAAAAAAGAATGCAACATAATATCCTAGAACAGTATATCTGAACATTCAGCCATAGTTCCCATATATCAGAGTCATCAAAATTAGAGCTATTATTATTAGCATAACATCATTGGAAGGACTGATAATGAAGCTCAAGCTCAGATACTTTGGTCACCTA